TAGGAAGTCTAGGATTTTTCGAGCAATCTTTAATCAAGTGTACAATAATTAAAATTTGTCAAGAGGCACAAGTGCAATTATTACATCTTCTAGATACAACACGTTTTAGGATAATCCACCACAAAAATCAAGAAAACTTTTGCAAGTACAAAATTGGTTGAATTTTATAGAATAAGTTGTTTATTAATTAGGGATGGTCACGGGACAGTTTGCGATTGGAGGTTGGGTTGGGGCAACCTTCCCTGTCTCTCGCCCTGCTGGGTAATTTCCAATCCCATTACCCGTTCAAGGTGGGGACGGGGAAGGGCAAGGGTGGACTCTTGCCCGTTTAGTGCCCATTTATTTTTTTATTTTTTATAATTTATTTTATTGTTCATATTCATTAAAGCAAGACAATAATATATTTGTTAAAATTTTTAATTAATTTATTTATTTTTAAAAGTTAAATCATTCAAATATATTTGATAAATTAAGACTTTTATTGTTTATCATATTCCTTAAATAATCTTAGCCTTTATGTTTTCATTCAGTGAAGATGATATCGATGATAATTATACATTAATTATCAGTTACCTGAAGTCAAACTAGCTATATGTCCTTTCTATATTTCCTTTTTTGGTTCCTATTTCAATTTAATATAATAAATAATTCATCTCTGCGGTAGTTTGAACTTTAAAAAATTAATTTTAACTTATTTTTGACTAAAGATTAGCAAGAAAATTCCTAGGGTGGTCAAATTGTTTGTTGGTATGTCTCTAAAAAGTTATCGGCGTACCTAATCATAGTTAATCAACAATTGGGGGAAAAAAAATTATATTAGTTGTGAACTTAGTGGAAAGGTTTTAAAATGTGTAATATTATATATGACAAAAAAGTTATGAGAAAATTGTTTTTTATTTTAATAAATTGAAGTCTTTTATGTTAGAAGAAGCATGCGCACGTGAATATTATGACGGTGTTTGAGAGACATTTTTATGTAAAAATGTATTTTTGAACAGTAAATTGATGGGAAATGTGTTGATGAAAAATAGGAAATTTTTTTTATTTACGTATAATATTTTTTTAATAAAGAATGTGTGATTGAAAAAAAGAGAAAAAATGCATTTTGAAAAAAATGAATACCAAACGGGACGTATTATTTTAACGCGCAAGGAAAATTCACTACTTAGATTTTTTGAGCAATCTTCAATCAAGTGTGTAATAGTCCAAAATTTGTCAAGATGCATTACAAGTGCATTTATTACATCTTCTAGATACAACACGTTTTAGGATAATCCATCACTAAAATCATGACACGTCTTAGGATAATCCATCACTAAAATTATGTCTACATGTATCGTTTGAATATGATGATCCGTCTTAATTGAGTATGTCAGTCTGAAATTTGCAGTTCTAAAAATATGAAGGAGCATTTTTAAGAATGTTCAATTTTAAGGGTATGAGTTGAAAAGTATCCACTCATTTGAATTTAATGTCAACTTGTCTATTATGCCCTTAATTAAAAGTTACATTTTGAAATGATATTCTCGATATTTTTAATATCGTTCTCAACATTTGATTTTTTTATCAATTTGTCACGAATTTTGAAAAGTGGCTTTTATAAGAAACTACATTAAAATAATGTTTCTTGACATTTCATATGTCGTTCTCGATATTTGAACACCGTTTCATTTGTTTAGAACGTCATTTTATTTTGAACATGACATTTCTTTACACTTAAAAATGTCGTTCTCGACATTTCTGAATCAATGAAAAACATAACATTTATTGTGATTTGACATGTATACTTTTTGAAATAAATATGGCAGGTTACGTGTTAAAAGTTTATTGGCCAATAACAATATTGCAAAAATGTCCATTTTTCTTGTCTTAGTGTGGAATTATAAATTGTTAATAAGGATATTTTGGTCTAAATTCTTTCAAATTAGACATTTTTATAATGGTGGACATTTTTGCAAATGATTAAGTAAAAATGGACATTTTGTCAAATTTCCTTAAATATAAAATATGAAATTTCTTGATATAGGAGGATAGATTGTTGACTAATTCGAAGTGAAAATTTTGACAAAGTTGTACGAATTTGTAATTGTCTTTGGTGCATACGTACTTTTTGTATTATTATTATTTTTAAACAAGAATAAGTTAAATGAAGAGAAAATAAGATGATAGTTTTTTTGGGTTATCAGAGATTTGACAATTTTAAGCTTATCATGAAAGTTTAAAAATGTTATCGGGACGAATCGAGAAAACTTTTGCTTGTAGAAGGCTGGTCGAATTTTATAAAATAAGTTGTTTATTAGTTAGGGATGGCAACGGGATGGTCGGGGACGAGGAGGTTAGGTAATTTCTAGCCCTGTTACCTGTTCAAGGCGGGGCGGGGTGGTGCCGGGCTCTTTTCCCCGTTTAGTACCCATTTAAATTAATTTTTTAAGTTTTTAAGATTTTTTTTTAAAATTCATTTTATTGTTCCTATTCATCAAAGCGAGACAATAATACATTTGCTAAAATTTTTAATTAATTTATTTATTTTTAAAAGTTAAATTATTTAAATATATTTGGTAAACTAAGACTTTTATTATTTGTCATGTTCCTTAAATAATATTAGTTGTCATCTTTTATTAAAATTAATGAAAATTTTTGGAGTTTTTCATTTAAAGTATTGAATACTTAACTTTATTTTTTATTTTTTAAACGAAACAAAGCCCTTGTTACCCATACCCACCATGGGGCGGACGGGAGGGCTCCACGGGTATCGAGTTTGACAGATTTTTTGCCATCCTATTATTAGTGTGGATTAAACCATAAATTGATCAACACTTCACAGTATTGAAAGTAATTAAGTTAATTTTAACGTGTTTTATTAGATTCGTACAATGTAGTCAAAAAATTTCGGCATGTTTCCTAGATGGTTAGGTGTGTCTGTAATATGTTCCCAAGAAAGAATTTTAATAAGCATTTTTTCTTTTTGAATTTTTCCCCGAGTGGAACTACTTTCGGAAAGGCAAATGTTATCCCTCGTGGAACTACTTTCCTAATTAATCATCAAGGCAAATTGTCGGTGAAGTTAATGTTTAATAAAGTAGCACTTTCTTCAAGACGATATTTGAGCTCACTTCAATGATATGTTTGTTGGGAATTTACTTAATTATGCACATAAAAAATTAAACAAAAATTTCAATTTTTACAAAGGATCTTAATGGCAGTGAAGAAAATCCTATAGAGAGATGAATGATGGTCAAGAATCTGGATACTTTAAGGTCCCAGATCATATAATCACTTTAAAACCGTAGTACTTTCTGATTATCTCTCTACTGAAAAATGGTTCTCCATTACATGAATTCTAACTTGGGAGTGGCTTGGATGGTTGGTGGTGTTAGAAGTTCTTCAATTATGGATTGTGGACTTGAGGAGGTAATGCTGGAGCATCCTTAAAACTGGAGCTGCCGTAATGGATTGGGCGTCGAGTGGATTCTCAGGTTTGATTCTGAATGATGTTGGGTGAATTCCATTTGTGCTGTGAGCTATAGTTTTTGGGCTAAGTGATGATAATATCTTACATTGTGAGATCGAGTGTAACTGGACTAGTGGATATATGTAGGCTTCCTCTCCATCTCCTTTTCTTCTCTCCCTCCCTCGTTTTTTTTGGTTCATTTAAAGAGTTACAAAGTTCTCGTCCTAATTCAGCATCAGAGTGCCCTGCTTTGAACGGAGCAGGGAATCCCCGATCCCCGCTCGTATCATTTTATTTTTTCAATTTAAATAATATATTTAAAAAAATATATATAATTATAATTATAAAACGAGCAGTGAATGGGGATAATTATATTCACATTGTAATTTTTGTTCGTTGCACCATATTTTTATTGCAATAAAGGTTTTCAACTTTTGCTTATTATTGTATTTATTTTCTCAAAATTTTTCGTTGTATTCTTATCCTTCTAATAGTTGCTATCTTATCATTCATGATGGTTTGTGTCTAAATAATCCATTAGAAGAACGTATGAAGAATTATTTACTTCTTATATTTTTTAAAAAAGCAAAGAACACGACAAATACAAAAAATTGATAAAATATTTGCCCCTATAATAAAATAGCTGACAGAATATCAAACAAAAATTATAATTAAGTAGAAGATATATTAATTAATTAAAGGTTAATGTTAAAAATGCAACGAGAAAAAGTGAAGGATATAATGAGATAATGAGCATCAATTGAGAACCTTCATTGCAATTAAAATATAGTGCAATGAACAAAAATGATGCAAATATAATTAACTCTCAGCTAAAAGTCCCATGCAATTTTAATGTCGGGACTCAAATTCAGATATTTGAATAAGTTGAGGACTCGAAACCTCACGTTTAAAGATTAAGGACCCATAATCACATCATGTAAAAATTAAAAAAGTTTAGAGAGCTCAATCCCAATTTTTTCAATTATGAAATATAATACTCACATATTTACAAAAATTGATACTAATTTAAGTGTATTGTTATACACAATCGTTGCTTAGCAATCATCTACGATATGACATTAATTGACTTGACATCTTAAATATGATATTTAAGATAAAATAAAGATGACCAATTAATTAAAATAATTTAAATATAACATCACTAACCAATACTAGCATTATTCTAGACTCAATAGTTATTCTTTGTGCTTTTGATTTGTAATTTCCTTTCTTAATTGGGGAAGACAACCTAAAAGTTAAAAACAAACTTGCTTTGCTCACGCACTTGGAAATTTCCTTTTTCTCCCAAAGAAAAATTATAAAATAAAATTAATTCGAGTCAACGTGAAACATTTTAACAACTCAAATTCTCTACATCCATGAGTACTTTTTCATGGTCAACTCAGTAATACCAACCTAGGCCACACAAAATTATTAACATTAAACTGATTATGTATGACTAAAAATGATGTTTGACAATTAATAAATGATTTGTAAAGTTTGTCAAATTGAGGGAAATTGACATTAAACTGGTTTTGCCAATAATAAGTATGACAGGTGAATCCATGTTCAGAAGCTTTAACATTCATAACAAGAAAGAAACAGAGAAAAAAAAAAAAAAAGGAAAGGAAGAAGGATAATCCGTTTACAAGAACCAGAAGGACGGGAGACGCGGAAGCTTGTTCCTGGCCTCTTTGGCAGTAGCAAATCTTAATTCTTAACCCGCCAATCTATTTTAGGGCAGGAGTCGTCAGATCTTCCCCAGGCAAAGGAGGGAACATATTCCGACATGAATAAAGCACAACGAAATGAATATTTGGAATGCACGTCTTTTATTCACGTAATATAGTAAAACAAACCCAAACGGTAGAAAGATATTCATCTAAATGATAAAAGATTTTGGCCCTTTTTTTTTTTTGAAGTGTTCACTATGGAAGGATCCGTTCAATCCTGAAATGAGGAAGAGCCGAGGTAACATCTTGTCCTTTTGTCTTGTAATACTGACAATATTCCCTGAATAAGAATTCTCTGTATAAGGCTGGATTCTCAACAGACAGAATCTCTTTTATAGGTGCAAATGGCTTTGCCCCTGCTCTAAGACTTGGGGTGAAGAAGCATGCAACTGAGATCCTTGGCCCGACCGGTTGAGCCAACACTCTATGCTCCACACTTATGAATTTGTCATTGCTTATAATCTGAGAAAGGGAAATATTCAATCAAGTAATTAGTTTCCCAGGCACGATATGAACTAGTTAAAATCTTATTTATTATACTATTTAATACTGTCAAACTCGCCTGCATCAGATCACCGATATTGGCTATGAGGGCTCCGCGCACTGGAGGCACGTCGACCCACTGATCATCATGAAGAATTTGGAGGCCGCCTATAGTGTCTTGCATTAGCAATGTTAAGAAAGTCGTGTCTGAATGTTTGTCTGTGCCCAGTGTCTTCTCAGGTTCAGGACATATTGGATAGTAGAGACAAGCCAATGCTTCACTTTTCATGCATTCAATACTTGAAAGGTGATCACTGCTGAGCCCTAAAGCTTCTGATAGTAACTCGGCCATTATTTCCCTCATTTGGATCATGCATTTCACGTATTCTTGCACTTCCTTTCTGCAAAAAATGACATGTTATTTCAAATTTAGGTTTTATTTTCGTGGCCATTTAACATTGTTTTGAACAGTGACTTTTTGGAGAATATATGGTTAAAAAGTAGGAAAATGTTTTGGGTTTTCGTGTAAAATATTTTATTGTATGAATGTGAGGTTGAAAATAAATACGTGGAAAAAAGAATTTTGAAAAGAAACTAAATTTGTGTTTTACTACATGAATGTTATTGGTGATCGGCACTAGTCAAGGTGTCATTTGCCCTTGATTCATTTGAATTATCTAATGCAATAAAATGCATCACAATTCTATTGAACGATTAATCAGGGGCCACTATCAACTAAACTGGTGATAATCACTATGAGTAGTAGTAGTTGTTGAGTTTATGTGGTACCTGCAAGTTAGAGGAATAGCTTCAGGATCCAATTGGTCATCATGAAAAACACAAGTCAAGATATCCCTCCAACATGCAGAATCATATTCACGTAGGGGTCCATTACTATTAAACTTAACTCTTTGGCTACTATCAGCAGAATACAAAAGCTTTTTCTCCTCCACTGGTTGTTCATGGAACCGTTTAACAGCTTCCAACATGGCATCCATTATATGTAATGGAACACCATGATTCACTATTCGAAAAAAGCCCCAAATCCCTGCTGCCTTCCTAATCTCCTCCACGACCTCCTTCCGCCTTGCACCTCCAGTTTGGACCCCCTCAAAGTCTATTGTGGGCAACTCAAGTTGAACATTCTTGGTGGTTTTACTTGGTGTTGCCAAACTTTCCGGTGGATGCACGAAGAACTGAGGGATTTTCGATATTCCGGCATCCACCAGTCCCTTGACACCAGCTTTTGTTTCATCAAATTCCTTCATTTCTTTAGCCCACTCACATTTTCCATTGCTAGTAACCACCATTATGAAAAAAGTACTTCTATATATGTATACCCAATTGTTTATGTAAAATGAGTTTAGATGGAATTGGTAATCATGTATGGCATTTATATAGTGGTAGAGAAGTTGGTCAATGTGGGACAAGCCCGAGTTAGTGAGAACATATTACATGTCACATAGAAATTTCAGAACGCAAAACTTGAATGCAGACATATTCTGGTTAGTAGGCAATTTTTTCAAAATTTAGGTGGGTTTGTTTTTTCTCGATCTTCTAGATTTACAAATCCTTGTTTGGCCACATTAAAATTTGTGAAAATTACACCCACACATGCCTTTTAACTTCCCAATTCAAAAATCTGATCTAAAATTTATTTATTCAAATTTTAGATATTAATTCAAACATTATAAATTAATATTTTAATAATAATAATAATATTATAAATTAATTTATATGCACTTACACCATATTCCATCCAACAAATTCAAATCCTAAATTGCCCCCCGGGGCACATCCAAGTTGGCAAAGGAAGGACAGTGCGGG